TGCGTTCTGGCTAATAGGTACGACATATATATATATATATATATATATATATATATATATATATATATATATATAAAGAGATACTGTACAAGTACCAGCTTCCCCCTCCCTTTTGCACTATTTCTTGCTACAAAATTATTTGTAAGACTTTCACTGTCATCCCGATTTTGTTCTACTTCGCCTGTGATGTCTGGCAATATTTATACCGCAAACTGCGCTCTCTCTCTCTCTCTCTCTCTCTCTCTCTCTCTCTCTCTCTCTCTCTCTCTCTCTCTCTCTCTTCCTCTCCTGTGTATACCAGGTCCTGTGTATAATCCTGTGTATACCAGGGTGTACTCCGCTGGTATACTAGTGTCTGTGGTAGATGTATGGTTGCCATGTATCAGGGTGTTTTAAGAGGCTGTCCTTATCCGCGTTGTGTATGTCCCTCGGTATCTTGTGTATCGTAATCATATCCCTCTCTGCTGCTTCTCCTCTCCAGGGTTGTGGGGCCCAGCAGTAAATAGGTACCTGGGTGTTAGTCAGCTGTCACGGGCTGCTTCCTGGGGGTGGAGGCCTGGTCGAGGACCGGGCCGCGGGGACACTAAAGCCCCGAAATCATCAAAAGATAACCTCAAAAGAAGATAACCCATGCAGCTTCCTCGAACTGTTCCTTATAGCTTAACCCTCTTAACTCCGGCACCAATCTTGTTGCAAACTTCTGTGCTTCTTCATTATTTTTCTTCCTTTTTTTTGAGTGATTTTTGTACGGGTGTTCCAGAATTTTGAGTGATTTCCTGTCTTGAGTGTTTTATTTACTGTCTTGAGTGTTTTATTTACTGTCTTGAGTGTTTTATTTCCTGTCTTGAGTGCTTTATTTCCTGTCTTAAGTGCTTTATTTCCTGTCTTAAGTGCTTTATTTCCTGTCTTGAGTGTTTTATTTCCTGTCTTGAGTGTTTTATTTCCTGTCTTAAGTGCTTTATTTCCTGTCTTAAGTGCTTTATTTCCTGTCTTGAGTGTTTTATTTACTGTCTTGAGTGTTTTATTTAAAATTGTACACGGGCGACATCTCCCGTCACGCAGGGTGCAGTCGCGCCTCCACAGATCTCCAGATCTCAATGGCTCAAAAGGGCCACCACTTACGGGCTATTCATGCCCGTGCCACCTCTTGGGTGGCTTAATCTTCATCAATCAATCAATCAAAATTGTATTTACCTGGTGACAAAGTACCTGAGGATCCTCCCTCAGTATCAGTAGTGATATAATGTTTTGTTGGGGACATGAGAACCTATTTACTGCTAGGTGAACAGATGCATTAGGTGAAAGGAAACGTGCCCAACCATTTCTAACCTGTCCGGGAATAGAACCCGGGATCCCTGATTGTGAGTCGAGAATTTAGCCAGTTTTATTAAGAAAGTTATCAAGCAGCCTATTCTGGCGACCGTTCCCAATGTCAAAAACCTGTTATACTAAAGTGCCCTATCCTAACCTATCAGAGGACCCGTTAACAGAAAACGGGACATTTATCAAGACTTGTCATGTTGATTTTGTTGCATCTAGGTTCTCAAGATGTTTTTATTACGTCTTTCATCTCACACAACTTGGTCTCTTATGTTGATTCCTTCCTTAAGTCCTCCTGAAATTTTCTGTTAAACTCCTCACATACTTCCTTATCGTTGTCTATGAGACATACTCTTTGTCTCTTCAGCGAGATAGCATGATATCTTACTGTTGTCTCTTCATCTTTCTCCCCATAATAGCAATTTGGATATCTTTCGCCACAATGTAGTTTTCAAATTGCCTCTCAGCTTCCCTTCTGACTCTCGTGTATTCATTTCTGGCTCTCTATAGTGCCTCTATATTGTCTTATATTGTCCTATATTGTCTATATCTTAGCTCTTTCTAATTCCACCTAGCTTCCTTGCACTGCCTATTTTATCCGGAGTACACTGTGCATTTCTCGTCCACCACCTTCTTGAGTGGGATGAACTGATCCGTTGCATGTGCAACTTTCCCATCATTGCATTTCATCGTCTCATTCATTGCCCTTCTTGTCTCTTCCAATTCTCTCTCCCACTGGATGCCCCTCATTGTGGACCCGCGTTGTAAGCTTTCTGTATCAGATCAGACTACCAGAAACTACCAGAGACTACTGTATCAGACGTGAGGACCAGGAAGACTACCAGAGACTACTGTATCAGACGTGAGGACTAGGAAGACTACCAGAGACTACTGTATCAGACGTGAGGACAAGGAAGACTACCAGAGACTACCAGAGACTACCAGAGATTACTGTATCAGACGTGAGGACCAGGAAGACTACCAGAGACTACTGTATCAGACGTGAGGACCAGGAAGACTACCAGAGACTACCAGAGACTACTGTATCAGACGTGAGGACCAGGAAGACTACCAGAGACTACCAGAGACTACTGTATCAGACGTGAGGACCAGGAAGACTACCAGAGACTACCAGAGACTACCAGAGGCTACCAGAGACTACCAGAGACTACCAGAGACTACCAGAGGCTACCAGAGACTACCAGAGACTACCAGAGACTACCAGAGTCTACCAGAGTCTACCAGAGGCTACCAGAGACTACCAGAGACTACCAGAGGCTACCAGAGACTACCAGAGGCTACCAGAGACTACCAGAGACTACCAGAGGCTACCAGAGACTACCAGAGACTACTGTATCAGACGTGAGGACCAGGAAGACTACCAGAGACTACCAGAGACTACCAGAGACTACCAGAGACTACTGTATCAGACGTGAGGACCAGGAAGACTACCAGAGACTACCAGAGGCTACCAGAGACTACCAGAGACTACCAGAGACTACCAGAGACTACCAGAGGTTACCAGAGACTACCAGAGGCTACCAGAGACTACCAAAGGTTACCAGAGACTACCAGAGACTACCAGAGACTACCAGAGGCTACCAGAGACTACCAGAGACTACCAGAGACTACCAGAGACTACCAGAGGCTACCAGAGACTACCAGAGACTACCAGAGGCTACCAGAGACTACCAGAGGCTACCAAAGACTACCAGAGACTACCAGAGACTACCAGAGACTACCAGAGGCTACCAGAGACTACCAGAGACTACCAGAGACTACCAGAGACTACCAGAGACTACCAGAGGCTACCAGAGACTACCAGAGACTACCAGATGCTACCAGAGGCTACCAGAGACTACCAGAGGCTACCAGAGACTACTAGAGACTACCAGAGACTACCAGAGGCTACCAGAGACTACCAGAGACTACCAGAGGCTACCAGATGCTACCAGAGACTACGAGGCTACCAGAGGCTACCAGAGACTACCAGAGGCTACCAGAGACTACCAGAGGCTACCAGAGACTACTAGAGACTACCAGAGACTACCAGATGCTACCAGAGACTACTGTATCAGACGTGAGGACTAGGAAGACTACCAGAGACTACTGTATCAGACGTGAGGACAAGGAAGACTACCAGAGACTACCAGAGATTACTGTATCAGACGTGAGGACCAGGAAGACTACCAGAGACTACTGTATCAGACGTGAGGACCAGGAAGACTACCAGAGACTACCAGAGACTACTGTATCAGACGTGAGGACCAGGAAGACTACCAGAGACTACCAGAGACTACTGTATCAGACGTGAGGACCAGGAAGACTACCAGAGACTACCAGAGACTACCAGAGGCTACCAGAGACTACCAGAGACTACCAGAGACTACCAGAGGCTACCAGAGACTACCAGAGACTACCAGAGACTACCAGAGTCTACCAGAGGCTACCAGAGACTACCAGAGACTACCAGAGGCTACCAGAGACTACCAGAGGCTACCAGAGACTACCAGAGACTACCAGAGGCTACCAGAGACTACCAGAGACTACTGTATCAGACGTGAGGACCAGGAAGACTACCAGAGACTACCAGAGACTACCAGAGACTACCAGAGACTACTGTATCAGACGTGAGGACCAGGAAGACTACCAGAGACTACCAGAGGCTACCAGAGACTACCAGAGACTACCAGAGACTACCAGAGGTTACCAGAGACTACCAGAGGCTACCAGAGACTACCAGAGGTTACCAGAGACTACCAGAGACTACCAGAGACTACCAGAGGCTACCAGAGACTACCAGAGACTACCAGAGACTACCAGAGACTACCAGAGGCTACCAGAGACTACCAGAGACTACCAGAGGCTACCAGAGACTACCAGAGGCTACCAGAGACTACCAGAGACTACCAGAGACTACCAGAGACTACCAGAGGCTACCAGAGACTACCAGAGACTACCAGAGACTACCAGAGACTACCAGAGACTACCAGAGGCTACCAGAGACTACCAGAGACTACCAGATGCTACCAGAGGCTACCAGAGACTACCAGAGGCTACCAGAGACTACTAGAGACTACCAGAGGCTACCAGAGACTACCAGAGACTACCAGAGGCTACCAGATGCTACCAGAGACTACCAGAGGCTACCAGAGGCTACCAGAGACTACCAGAGGCTACCAGAGACTACCAGAGGCTACCAGAGACTACTAGAGACTACCAGAGACTACCAGATGCTACCAGAGACTACCAGAGGCTACCAAAGACTACCAGAGACTACCAGAGGCTACCAGAGACTACCAGAGACTACCAGATGCTACCAGAGACTACCAGAGGCTACCAGAGACTACCAGAGACTATCAGAGACTACCAGAGGCTACCAGAGACTACCAGAGACTACCAGAGACTACCAGAGACTACCAGAGACTACCAAAGACTACCAGAGACTACCAGAGGCTACCAGAGACTACTAGAGACTACCAGAGACTACCAGAGACTACCAGAGACTACCAGAGGCTACCAAAGACTACCAGAGACTACCAGAGGCTACCAGAGACTACCAGAGGCTACCAGAGACTACCAGAGACTACCAGAGACTACCAGAGACTACCAGAGACTACATAGTATTTATGGAAATTTCACAACACGAACAGTCGTAAAAAGTTGCAGTAATATTATTATTATGTTATGTACATGGTGCCTGGAGCCCAGGGAACGGTGTACATGGTGCCTGGAGCCCAGGGAACGGTGTACATGGTGCCTGGAGCCCAGGGAACGGTGTACATAGTACCTGGAGCCCGGGGAACGGTGTACATGGTGCCTGGAGCCTGGGGAACGGTGTACATAGTACCTGGAGCCCGGGGAACGGTGTACATGGTGCCTGGAGCCCGGGGAACGGTGTACATGGTGCCTGGAGCCCGGGGAACGGTGTACATAGTACCTGGAGCCCGGGGAACGGTGTACATGGTGCCTGGAGCCCTGAGGAACGGTGTACATGGTACCTGGAGCCCGGGGAACGGTGTACATGGTGCCTGGACCCCGAGGAACGGTGTACATGGTACCTGGACCCCGGGGAACGGTGTACATGGTGCCTGGACCCCGGGGAACGGTGTACATGGTGTCTGGAGCCCTGAGGAACGGTGTACATGGTGCCTGGAGCCCTGAGGAGCGGTGTACATGGTACCTGGAGCCCTTAGGAACGGTGTACATGGTACCTGGAGCCCTGAGGAACGGTGTACATGGTACCTGGAGCCCGGGGAACGGTGTACATGGTGCCTGGACCCCGGGGAACGGTGTACATGGTACCTGGACCCCGGGGAACGGTGTACATGGTGTCTGGAGCCCTGAGGAACGGTGTACATGGTGCCTAGACCCCGGGGAACGGTGTACATGGTATCTGGAGCCCTAAGGAACGGTGTACATGGTGCCTGGAGCCCTGAGGAACGGTGTACATGGTACCTGGAGCCCTTAGGAACGGTGTACATGGTACCTGGAGCCCTGAGGAACGGTGTACATGGTACCTGGAGCCCGGGGAACGGTGTACATGGTGCCTGGACCCCGGGGAACGGTGTACATGGTACCTGGACCCCGGGGAACGGTGTACATGGTGTCTGGACCCCGGGGAACGGTGTACATGGTGTCTGGAGCCCTGAGGAACGGTGTACATGGTGCCTGAACCCCGGGGAACGGTGTACATGGTGCCTGGAGCCCTGAGGAACGGTGTACATGGTACCTGGAGCCCTTAGGAACGGTGTACATGGTACCTGGAGCCCTGAGGAACGGTGTACATGGTACCTGGAGCCCTTAGAAACGGTGTACATGGTGCCTGGAGCCCGGGGAACGGTGTACATGGTGCCTGGAGCCAGGGGAACGGTGTACATGGTGCCTGGAGCCCGGGGAATGGTGTACATGGTGCCTGGAGCCAGGGGAACGGTGTACATGGTGCCTGGAGCCCGGGGAACGGTGTACACGGTGCCTGGAGCCCGGGGAACGGTGTACATGGTGCCTGGAACCTTGGGAACAGTGTACATGGTGCCTGGAACCTGGGGAACGGTGTACATGGTGCCTGGAGACCGGGGAACGGTGTACATGGTGCCTGGAACCTTGGGAACAGTGTACATGGTGCCTGGAACCTGGGGAACGGTGTACATGGTGCCTGGAGCCTGGGGAACGGTGTACATGGTGCCTGGAACCTTGGGAACAGTGTACATGGTGCCTGGAACCTGGGGAACGGTGTACATGGTGCCTGGAGCCTGGGGAACGGTGTACATGGTGCCTGGAGCCCAGGGAACGGTGTACATGGTGCCTGGAACCTGGGGAACGGTGTACATGGTGCCTGAAACCTGGGGAACGGTGTACATGGTGCCTGGAACCTGGGGAACGGTGTACATGGTGCCTGGAACCTTGGGAACAGTGTACATGGTGCCTGGAACCTGGGGAACGGTGTACATGGTGCCTGGAGCCTGGGGAACGGTGTACATGGTGCCTGGAGCCTGGGGAACGGTGTACATGGTGCCTGGAACCTGGGGAACGGTGTACATGGTGCCTGGAACCTGGGGAACGGTGTACATGGTGCCTGGAACCTGGGGAACGGTGTACATGGTGCCTGGAGCCTGGGGAACGGTGTACATGGTGCCTGGAGCCTGGGGAACGGTGTACATGGTGCCTGGACCCTGGGGAACGGTGTACATGGTGCCTGGAACCTGGGGCACGGTGTACATGGTGCCTGGAACCTGGGGAACGGTGTACATGGTGCCTGGAACCTGGGGAACGGTGTACATGGTACCTGGAGCCTTGGGAACGGTGTACATGGTGCCTGGAGCCTGGGGAACGGTGTACATGGTGCCTGGAGCCCGGGGAACGGTGTACACGGTGCCTGGAGCCCAGGGAACGGTGTACATGGTGCCTGGAGCCTTGGGAACGGTGTACATGGTGCCTGGAGCCTGGGGAACGGTGTACATAGTGCCTGGAGCCTTGGGAACGGTGTACATGGTGCCTGGAGCCAGACTAACGGTGTCCTAGACCGTTTTCAAGTCGATTGTGATAATGGTCCAGGACGGACCGAAACGTCGTCGTCTCCTCGTCTTTTGTGGTCTGGTCACCATAAGTTACTTTTATGTATAGAGTAGCAATGACGTAAAGAAGTATATGCTTTTTTTTAGGTATTTAGACCATACTCGACCCAAGTCCAAGTAGTCGCAGTTTTCCAGACGTGTTTGTTGACCAGGTTCTGGGAGGAAGCGTCCTATATGCAAATGACTCCACGTAAGACAAAGATTCAGATTCAGATTCAGATTCAGATGTTTATTCAGGTAAGGTATATACATACAAGTGATGTTACATTAATGGATTGATATATAGATAGAGCTAGTACATACAATGCCTAAAGCCACTATTACGCAATGCGTTTCGGGCAATTCGGGCAACAAAGGATTCCACTGAGCAGAACAGTGGAGCGTAACACACAACACAGCACCAAGAAACACGATTCGCAACCAACGGAACACTTGTACAAGTCTACAAAAGTCCTATTACGTGTGTTGGTGTGTGTGACGTCACGGTAATGGGTGAACAAAACCAGGGAGGCCTCCTGAGCGAGGCGTCAAACAGTCGCTGACCGCCGAGGTGAACACACCCTTCCTCACGCGGGGTCTGTGTATGTGTTTGTGAGTGTGTGTGTGTGTGTGGACGCGCTCAAGCACGTTCAGTGAAGGATATTATTATTAACACATCGAGAAAGATAATATGAAGTTAAGCGCTGTGCAGGTAAGCCGTGTGAGGTAACTTGTGCTAAGTGTTTAGACCCACCTGGTGGGGACCTTAGGGGGAGGCGAGCGTGCGCTGAGAAAGGGCTGTGTGAATTGGTAAAAGTTTTGGCTCCTTGTGTCAATGTTTGCGTACGCACTTACTTTCGCACTCAGTAGCGTGTCGGATTGATGCAAGGGGAAGGGATGGGAGGGGGAAGGGGGGAGTTCAAGGGGCGCCAGGGAGCGCCCAATAACTAATGTATAAATAGGTAAATCTGTTGAAGGCCTATTGGACTACTTAAAGCAGCTCCTATTGGCCCATGCGAGGTAGCTGCTGTTGAGGAAATCTTCGAACAGGACAACGGGATCGAACCACCATACTGGGTAACCCCGAGACGCACGCCTTAACCCATGGACCACAACATGCTGAAGTTCTGTTTTTTTAGTCTGGGGTACGCCCAACCTTCTGGGCGTCTGCAGGCAAACTCTGGTGTAACCGCTCTTTCTCACACACATATATATCATGTTATATCTTGTGTGTGGTTGAGGAGGCGCGTGTACGGGTTATTTGTAAACTTGGGTTGGCTAACCACTTGGAACAAGGACGGTAGAGCGACGGCCTCGCTTCTAGCAGGTCGGCGTTCAATCCCCGATCGTCCAAGTGGTTGGGTACCATTCCTTCCCTCCGTCCTTGTCATTCTGCTCATATTCCTTCCAAGCACAGAACAGTTACAGCCCCGCTCCTGTACCAGGTTATCTTGAGGTTATCTTGAGGTTATCTTGAGATGATTTCGGGGCTTTAGTGTCCCCGCGGCCCGGTCCTCGACCAGGCCTCCACCCCCAGGAAGCAGCCCGTGACAGCTGACTAACTCCCAGGTACCTATTTACTGCTAGGTAACAGGGGCATTCAGGGTGAAAGAAACTTTGCCCATTTGTTTCTGCCTCGTGCGGGAATCGAACCCGCGCCACAGAATTAAGAGTCCTGCGCGCTATCCACCAGGCTACGAGGCCCCTGTCACACCACCGGTGTTTTCTATGAAGCTTTTCAAGGTAAACTAAAATATTTACAATCAATTAGTATGTCACATATGCACTTATTAAATAAGCCAATATTGACTATAAGCAAGTGCGAGAACGGGCTGGACAATGAATACCTACTGCAGAAAGGGGAAGTTGGCTAAAGGGCACATCCATTGCGGCCAGATCTACCCCTAAGTGTTTGTTGATTCATTGTTTTTAAAATGTCGAGATGTACTTCCCACGTAGGGAACATCACACTTCGAACATCTGAACAGATGCTCAACACGAGACCCAAGTTCATAAGGCGAGAAATCCCCCGCAAAGGCCGGTGCTCGAGTGAACCAGAGCATTGCAGATCTTTATGAACGTTCTCACTGAAGCTTGAGTTTGTACCTGCAATATCGTGCGCTTTCCATTACGTGATTCGCCACTGTTAGACACCGTAGATCACAGTAACTCGTCTCTGTTAGACACACGTAGATCACAGTAACTCGTCTCTGTTAGACACCGTAGATCACAGTAACTCGTCTCTGTTAGACACACGTAGATCACAGTAGCTGCTCCCATTAAGAGCTCCACCGTCACTTAGGGGTCACTCAGGTAACTGTGTTTATAGCAGGAAAATCCGCTTATATATATATCCTTTGAATATTTATTGTTCCTTCTCAATATGTCTGATGACCTACCTTGCTGTGGTTCCGGGGGTCAATGTCCCTGCGGCCCGGTCTCTGACCAGGACCAGGCACAAAGTTCATTGATGGTGTTTATAATATAATATAAATTCAAAATATATCCTTTGGTGTGATCGGGGATGAAGGCGTTGGACAGTGTTTTATTATTCTGTTTAATGTTGTTGTTGATACTGTTGCGTGAATTTGCCCTCACAAGTTAGCTCGAGTGCATGGGGGGAGTTGTGTAAAACCCTGGTTTGTGCCTCGGAGAGGCTGCAGGATCCAGTAAGTTCAGTAGAACTTCGGTTTCAACTCCTTTTGACCAAGTCGTAGCTCAGTCGATTAAGGCAGCGTCTGGGATGCTCTCGGACGCAGGTTCGAATCCTCGTCACGGCCCTTGTGGATTTGTTCATTTGCTCGTAAGGTTGTTTTCTACAGGGGTTATTGGTAATTGAGACCCGTACTGATGCTGGACTCGTTTACGGCCTAATATTGGACTCCCGCTGAATTTGGACCTAGTTGTTTATTTATATTACTAGAGTTCTTACATTCTCGTAAAGCCACTAGCAAGCATAGCGTTTCGGCCGACCTGCCAAATCGTTTAACAACCGAGTATCCGGATTCACGAAGCAGTTACGTAAGTACTTATGAACGTGTACATCTTTCCTCAATATTTGATGGTTTTGGTTACATTAAACAGTTTACAAGCATGAAAACTTGCCATTCAACTGTTATTATTGTTATAAACAGCCTCCTGGTGCTTCGGAGCTCATTAACTGTTTAATAATTGTAAACAAAGCCGCCGAAGATTGAGAAAAGATGTTCAGGTTCGTAAGTGATTGCGTAAGTCCTTCGTGAATCTGGGTCCAGCAGTACCCATTCACTGCTGGGTGAACAGATGCGTATAGTTAAAGATTGGTGCCTAGTCAATCCTTCCGGGCGAGGATACGAACCCAGGCCAAATCGCTCGCGAAACGCGGGGCAAGTGTCTTACCACTGTGCCACGAGAAGTAATGCCTGACACAAAAGGTTATCACATGGACTTAAATAACCCTTAAAAATCGTCGGTTATTGCAGCCCCCGGAGTGTAATTACCCAAGTGTAATTACCTAAGTGTAGTTACAAGATGAGAGCTACGCTCGTGGTGTCCCGTCTTCCCAGTACTCTTTGTCGTATAACGCCTTGAAACTACTGACGGTTTTGGCCTCCACCACCTTCTCACTTGTTCCAACCGTCTACCACTCTGTGAAACACATCTTTCTAATATTTTTTCGGCACCTTTGTTTCCTTAGTTTGAATCTGTAGCCTCTTGTTCGTGAAGTTGTTGGTTTCAGGAATTCCTCTTTGTAAGTTTCGTCGATTCCTGTTAGTATTTTGTAAGTGGTGATAACTTACGTATGCAAAAGTAAGTGGTGTGTGTGTGTGTGTGTGTGTGTGTGTGTGTGTGTGTGTGTGTGTGTGTGTGTGTGTGTGTGTGTGTGTGTGTGTGTGTGTGTGTGTGTGTGTGAGCTCACGCTGTTGTACTCACGAGGGATAAGCTTTAGCTCTTTGGTCCCGCCTCTCGACACTCAAGTCAACTGATGTACTAGTTAAAAAGTTTATTTAACTGTCGTAGCTCCATCTAAAGCTATACATAAGGTATGCCTCCATCACTCCATTTTGTAAATAATTATTTTGTTCACCTCTCTGGAACTGAACTAATTCTTTCTAATGACTCCATGGTTGAGATAGGTTGAGTACCTGAACGTGCCCAGAGTTCATGTACCACCTATGCTTAATGCTGTCCTTGTCTCTCCTGACCATTCTTTGGAGAAGTCATTGTGATTATCAGCTCTCTCCTGTTTATTCTGTCTCCTGTTTATTCTCTCCTGTTTATTCTCTCCTGTTTATTCTCTCTCCTGGTGACGTGAGACTTAACTACTTTAGTTCATAATTCCAGAATTATGTTACGTATGGTCTTGAACGACTGTCTCTGTTCACTCTCTCAAAGGTAGCTCTTATGATTGCGAACCTTGACTATGTAGCTGGAAATATTACTCTGATGTATTTACTTGTCATAAATATGGAAATATTGTCATGGAAATATTACTCTGTTATCATATTTTGATGACATGTTCGTTATAACGTCAACTCAGAATATTTTGTCAGATTCCAGGAGGATTTTTTCCCTCCCATTTGACATATTGTATTCAGCCTCATGCTTCCAACATCATTGCTTTGCACCTGCCTGAGTTAGCCTCAAGCAACCACTTGTTAAATCAATCTTTCATTTTGTACAGGTCAACTTTTTTTTCTGGTATTGTGGTGATCGAGTCTATGTGGCCCTTCGTTTGTGTTTTTGAACTGTGCAACTATTTAAATGTAAAACATCCAGGTGCACAAGAGTAAAAAATAGTTAAGAATTTAAATGTGAAAAAATCATATATAGGGGTACAGGAGGAACTGGTATATAGAGGTCGGAGCACAGGAGGAACTGGTATATAGAGGTCAGAGCACAGGAGGAACTGGTATATAGAGGTCGGAGCACAGGAGGAACTGGTATATAGTAGTCAG